ATTCCTCAAAGGGGAAAAGAATGAAGTCCTTTATTTCTGACCTGCTGTGTTAAAGTCAACAGGATCACATGTGATATATTGAGTAGGGTCAGACTTACTCATATCCTGAGGTTCCTGAGAAAATCATTAGAGCTCACACATCTGCTGGAGACAGATAGACCATTTACATATAACATGCCCAAGTTCTCTAGGCCTTTGGAAAATAAGAAATGAAGTGATTTGAATCATTAGCTCTGCATACTGTCCCTACTATTTCTAATGGTTCTTGAATGTGTTTGGGCTATCATCCCTCTAACTACTACTTCCTCTCTGAATTCTCCATCTGTTTTCTTCCTTTCTTCCCTATGCCTCTTATCTTCTCTCTTGTCAGGTTTGGCCAGCAAACCCTGAGGCGTGAATGAAAAGATTACTCCAGACACCTAAATGGGAGAAAGGAGAGGGCCTGGGAACCAGAGGTTCTAGTGTTGGAAGGTCCCGAACCAGAGTCTGCCTCTACCTTTATTGTGAATGTTATTAATACAACAAGGGGTAAGAAAAACAAAAAGGAACGTGAAGCTGTAATAATCAGGACAGTGGTATAGGGAGTATCGAGTTAATCGAACAAGCCCTGCTCCTGACGATGTCCAGACAGGGCGTGCGTGGAATATGTGACCTCCAAAGACAAATGATTCTCCTAAGTCAAGCATTTACTCCCTGGATGAGTACATTGAGCCGCAACGAGGATCCGCTGTTTTCAGCCCAGAAACGTTAAAGGGGCCCGGTTTCCGTACACTACTTCTTTGCTTTTCAACTAGTTTCATCCAGGGAGGCATGTGTTTATTAACTCTTGTCTAGCCAAGCACTATGAATTCCCGCACTCTCTGTCCCATTTCACCAAATGAGGACATTTTGCTGCTGCTTCCTCCTCCAAAACATTATTATCAAAAGCTTATGTATTCAGCATTTGCTGAAATTTAGTGTTAAGGGGGGTGGTGAGGAGGGAAGATAGCCTGGTGAAAGATGTAAATAATTGCTAAATTTGACCTCTTCTTCTTCTTTTTTTTTTTTCTTTTTTAAGAGAGTGTGTGGAGCGGCGGTGGGGGAGGGTCAGCAGCGGTGGGGGGCAGAGAATCTTAAGTAGGCTCCACGCCCAGTGTGGAGCCTGTCCTGGGGCTTAAATGACTCAGCCACTCCGGCCCGTAAGTTGATTTATTAATTAACAATATTTTGTGTAGTATGGCTCAAAAATGACAAATATTTGTATTATCTTCTCAAAATATTTCTTCTTCAATGGGACAATTTGTTTTATATACCATGGATCCTATTACTGCCAATATGATAAAACAAACAGGGGCTGCCAATTCCCAAAATCAACTCTGGAGAAATAATAGATAAAAGGGAACTAAGCATCCAAAGAATTAACCACATTAGAATGAGACCATTCCCTGAACAGAATGAAACCTAGATTGAACCGCTGACCTGAGAACAGTGGACTGGGCAGAGGGTGGTCAATGCCTGCAACCCCAGAGGGGAGCTGCCAGGGGAGGGGATGAGAGTGTAGACAGGAGGCAAGTTCTGATCTTGCATTTCCCACAATTCATTTTATCACTTGTTTTAATTTCATAGACACAGAAATCTGTGGCTGTGATCTAAGCTACTCACTGTGCCCATGACTACTATTAGGCAGGTACAAAAGAGCTACTAAGCTAAGAAGTTAAAGAAAAGAAGAAAGAAATAAATAGTAGGGTAAATATAGATGAAGAACAAATTGCTGAGTTGAAATATCAATTTCAGTAAGTTTCCAAGAAATGAATAAGGACGTAGAAAATATAAAATGCTAAAGGATATAGGAGATAGAAGAAAAGCCCCAGCATATACTTAACAGAGTCCTAGAAGTAAGGAACATAAAACTAGAGGAGAGGAAAGAACTGAAGAACTCTATCAATAGAAATTTCACAGAATAAAAAGAATATGTAAGGTCTCATTTTGGAAGCACTTACAGATTGCCACTGAAGATAAGGAAAAACATTCACACCCAGACAAACTGTAGAGAAATTAAAAAAAATACCAAAGAAAATTTTCCAGGAGAAAGAGCATATTATCTGCCAAGGAACAAGAATCAGATTGACTCTGAACTTCTCAATAGCCACATTACTTATAAGACAAAATAGTATCTTTTTTTTCTGAAGTTTTATTTAAGTAATGTCTACACCCCATGTAGGGCTTGAACTCACAACACGGAGATCAAGAGCCACTGAGCCAGCCAGGTACCCCCAAAGTAGTATCTTAAAAGAAGCAAGAAAATTGAATTTGAGATTGTATGTGGAGCAAAATATCATTCCTAAGTGAGAAAGAAATATGCTATATAAGCCACAATTTTATGAAATATACAAATAAAGCTGCTATTAATGTAAGAAGAAACAATGAAATTGAATTTAACAATAAAGGCCTAGGTAGTTTTATTGGCAAGTTTCATCAAGCTCTTAAGTAATAATTTCTATTTTATACCAAAAAATAGAAGCAGCAGAAAATAGAGAGGAAAAAGTCCCAGCTCATTTAAAAAGCCTAGAATATTTTACTACTTAATTTTACTTTTTTTTACTAGTTAATTTACTAGTTAATTTTTACTTTTTTATAGAGTGATAAATTTATATAGAGTAAATATCACAAATATTAAGTATACAACTCAAGAATTGTTACATGCCTATATACCCATATATATGTATGCTAGATCAAGAATATTTTCTGTGCCACAAAATGTTCTCTCATGCCTGCCTCCCCTGCCTTTAACTATATTGACCTCTTTTCATCATAGATTAGTTTTGCCTGTTTTGGACCTGTTTGAACAGTGAGAATTCTTTTTTCCTTCCCTTCTTTTACAAAATAGTGTACTTCTGAGATTCAGGTGTACTGTTACATGTAGCTGTATTTCTTTGAAATTGCTATCTAATATTCTAGGGGCGAATGGGTGGCTTAGTTGGTCAAGCGTCCGACTCTTGATCTTAGCTCAGGTCTTGAGCTCCGGGTCGTGAGTTCAAGCCCCATGTTGGGCTCCATGCTGGGTGTGGAGCCTACTTAAAAAAAAAATGCTACCTAGTATTCTAATGCAAGACTACATCACAATTTATTTATTCTAAAAAAAAAATTTATTTATTCTACTGTGGTTTGGACATTGAATTATTTTTAGTGTTTGACTATTATAAATAGAGCTGATATGAGAGATAATGGGAAAGCAATAACAGGATTTCCTCTACCCACCAGAACACTTATATAAAGATATTCATATCAACAAGCATTACCCAAAGTTGATGAAAGCTATTTTTTTAGGAATTCTCACAACAGGAGCTGCTGCATTATAGGGTATAAATAAAGCTCCAATGACTGAAACTAAAGATATGGAGCTCTATAAACTGTCTTACAAAGAACTCAGAGAATTAATTAATTTACATTTTTTCTAAGTTTTTATTTAAATTCCAGCTAGTTAAAAGAATTCAGAAAAAGCTTCTTAGAGAAATTCATGAACCACAAGAAAACAGAGATAAACAAGTAAACACAATTAGAAAAACAATGCATGAACAAAAGTTCAACAAAGAAATAGAAACCATTAAAAACGAATTCTAAAGTTAAAGAACACAATGACTACACTGAAGAATTCCATAGAAAGTTTCAATAGCACACTCAGCCAAGCAGAATGGCTGGATGGATTAAAAAACAAGGCCCAGCTATATACTACCTACAAGAAACTCACTTCAGTTTTGAGGCTATATATATAGGCTGAAAGTGAAGGGATGGAAAAAAGGTATTCCGTGCACATGGAAACCAAAAGAGAGCAGGGTAGCTACGCTTATATCAGACAAAATAGACTATTAGCTAAAACTGTAATAACAAACAGAAAAGGTCTGGACACCTGGGTGGCTCATTCATTGAGAGTCTGCCTTTGGCTCAGGTCATGATCCCAGGGTCCCAGGATCAAGCCCCACATTGGGCTCCCTGCTTGGCAGGAAGCCTACTTCTCCCTCTCCCACTCCCCCTCCTTGTGTTCCCTCTCTCGTTGTGTCTCTCTCTGTCAAATAAATAAAATAAAAAGAAACAGAGAAGTTCATTATAAATGATAAGGGGTCAACTCATCAAGAGGTTATAATAATTAAAAATATATATGCACCTGACATCAGAGCACCTAAATATTTAAGCACATACAGATCTGAAGGAACAACAGTATAATCATAGTAGGGACTTGAACAACGGATAGATTATCCAGACAAAAAATGAATAAGTAAATAATAGACTTGAACTGTACTTTAGACAAAATGGGCCTAAAAATATATGCAGAACATTCCATCCAATGACAGCATAAACACATTCTTCTCAATAGTACATGGAACATTTTCCAGAGTAGATCATACATCACAAATAAGTGTTAGTAAATTTAAGATGATTAAAATCACACCAAATATCTTTTCCAATCAAAATTTTACAAAAGGAGAAGAAGAGTTCCCAGCTGGTGAAAGACTGGTAAATTGATTATATTGGCCTCTTCCTGCTGAATGAAGATTCTAAACAAGCTTTGGTTTGTGTGGACACTGTGTCTGACCTAACCCAAACTTTCCCTACTGCCATGCACACCAAGCTGCCATCATCAGGAGATTAGAAAAACTGAGTACCATGCATGGATACACTCATCGAGGAGATAGTGATTGGGGATCACATTTCAAAGGTCAGGCATCGAATGGAGGTTTCATATTCCCTATAACCCACAAGCAGCAGAGTTGCTAGAAAGGAAAAATGGCATATTAAGGCAGCAAATTGTTAACAGGTAAAACCACATTGGCTGGGTGGACTAAAGTACTGTCTCAGGCTTTAGTACATTTAAATGACCAACCAGTAGGGCCTATTGTCCCATATACCAGACAGGGGACCCTGGCTGAGGCACCTAGTTTCGTGAAGGTATGGAATTCACGAGAGACAACCACTCCTCTGACTCCCACTGAGGATCGATGTGTTATGCTGCTAAGAACACCATGCTCCCACACACCTGGAAAAGGACTTATCTCCAGGAATTTGCACTTAGGATGTCCCACCAGAATGGGTGAGTTACTTCACACCCCGGGTGAGGGGAACTACTCAGTCTGCTGGGATCCCATTATCCTGCTGCAAGCTGGATCTGTTAAAATGCACTATACTTGGAATGGAACATAAACCACTGAAAGAAGGGAGTAGGTGGGGTCCTGGTCTGGCCTATCCCACCCCAGTCCATCTCCTCACACCTGGCAGTGCTGTCTCCCCCAGCCAACATGTATGGTTTGTACAACCAGGTCACGTTTCTAAAGCTGCCAATCCATCTCCTCAGGGAACAGGGGAACACTTTGTTTTCCCACTGGTGTGATCATTTTGCTATATTATTGTTCCCTCCATTGGCCTATAGAATGTTATAACTCACATAGAAGCCCTTATTAAATTCACCTAACAAACCTTGAATGATAGCCAACAAAGCCTGTCCTTACTGAACACTGAACGCTGAAATGTCTCGGACGAGAAAAGCTGTCCAAAGGCTCATGAGTCTTTCTGTGTGAGGGCATCAACAGAAACAAAAGAACATAATCATGTAGGTTTTAGTGTTTAGGGTTATTAGTAATGGTAACAGTAAAATAGTACCAACACTTTTTTTGTTTTAGCTTCTAGACATTAATTTTTATCCTGATAAGTGTTAAAAAAGCTTGGGTTGAAGAATTTTAGTTTCTGAGACTCAACCAGAAATGAAGCCAATAAAGGTCTGTGGGTATCTTCATTCCCTGTTTATACACCTTGAAACTGGGAAGTCATTTTGACTCTCAGGAGATCATCCCCTGTTAGTTCCATTTGCTTAATAGCTATTTTTCTTCTCTCATGTTCTTTAAAGAATCCCCTAATTTTCCCAGCCCATAATGACCCTTGCCTTTTTGGCCTGAGGTTTTATTTCCTCAGCTGGGTGAGAAGCCCCCAGAGGGCAGTATTCAGGCCTCATATTTCTTGTTCAAGCCAGCACTGGCTACTGTTTTTGTTTTTAGGCAGTGTCGTGGTGTCAATGACTTCTCTCTGTTGTTCTGGGTGAGCAAGAGGGAGTTCATGGACCTTGAGAGGAAGCACATACTCATGGCAGATAGAGATTAGGCACGAAGGCTCCTGGAGATGGTCTGTAACAAGTCTTGGGAGCTGGCAAAGACTGTGGAGGCACACCAGCATCTTGTCAGTGGGTGTGCACTGGTCACGCTAGAGATAGAGAAGGTGGAGTTCAGACCAGGATCTGAGATTCTTGTGTGCAGGGGGAGTGGTGCCGGGATGGGGTGTTGGGGTGTTGCCTGTAGCAGGGGGCTGGGAATCTCTGGGGAGAGTGGCTTGAAGCATGAGACAGCTTCTGCTGTTAGGTGCTCTTTTGAATGGGCGAGAACTGTTTGATCTAAGTTCTTTGAAACATGTTCGATGGGTTTGTGTAGAAGCTTCGGAATTAGCAGATATTGAAAGAACAGTGATATTCAGAGAAACTCTGCTGCCTGATATTCTATTTAATTTAGAAGAACATAACCCCCATCTTAGAAGATAAACTCTTCCCTCCCCATTGACACAATTGGGGAGAGGTTCCCATAATCTATGTGACACACAGTCCTGTCATGATGAGCACACAAAGACAGGGTATTTCAGAGCTTCTAGGGAAGGATCTGAAATCTCTCCTCAGGAAAATGTGGTCTTTCGACTTAGACATCATTCTGCTGACAAAGACTAACGCTAGGGCTGTGAAGTCTAGAGAAGCAGTTCCTTCATTTTGTGAATGGATATCATTCCCATGCAGTGAACCACACATTCAGAGTATTTGAGTAGCAATCCAATCTACCTTCCTGTTGGTCTTGCCTGATAGTCTAGTATTTTTGGTTCAATAGAGCTGCAAGAGAAGTGAAACTCCCCGAGAGTCCTTGTTTCTATACAGTATGTATAGAATGAGGTTTGGCCAATCCTCATCCAATCCTCATCACTCCTATTATGCCCTAAGCTGTGACTTCATCACCCTGATCACCTAGGAGGTGAGAGAGCTGGGGCAGGGAATTCCATGTACTCTCTCAGATCTCAATGGCAGAGGTTGAACCAGGGGCCAGTTTATTCCCAAATGGTGTTCCTTGGCTCTATGCCCTGTTTGCTATGCTTTTTGTATTTTTTCTCTTTGTCATGTTCTCTCCCTTTTTACTTGAGATAGACCAACATATAAAGAAATGTAAGTACCAGAGGGGGCCTTAGGGCACGGGGGAACGAGATGTATGAGAGAGTGTGTGTACAGAGGGAGGAGAAGGTATACATTATAAGGTGGGGAACATGGAAACAATGTCTGTTCTTCTCTGATCTTCAAGGTCTTAATGACCCAGGGCTAAAGGTTTTAGAAATAATAATCTTTTATATAATGGAAGTACCTGAGGGACATAAGTCAGGACTGGACTAGGCAGCCCATTTGTGGTACATCTGTGGAGCATGAGGAGGTATCCAAGGTCCTGCCTGAGTTGATATAAGGCCCAGGTATAAGGATATAGGAAATCCTGGGGAATCTGGGGATATGTGAAGGAATTTTCAGATGATGGTCTCTGACTCGCCATGCTTTGTCTTAGTCTTGCTTAGATGCAAGTATTCTCTGCATAGTGCTGTGCGCAAGGATAAAGAAAATGAGATAAAGATGGACCATCTGGGAAGGCCAGGTGAGTATTCTTTGCTCTTCACCCCTGGGTTCATTATGTCCATAAGGCGGGCGGTTCTAGTTACTTCCATGGTCCATGTGCTAGATGGCTGAAAACTCCACACTCAAACCTAGTCTCAGTGAGGCAACCCCCTCACATTCTGTTTAGCTTAAGAATTCTGTCTTCTCTCTAGGGAGAACATTTTCAAGTAGAAATTTGGTTCTGAGCCCTCATTAACTTCATAATCTAGGGTCTCCTGTAGGTGGAAAAGTTTCTCTTTTCTCATCTATACTTATGATGTTTCTCCTCTTATCAGGGTTGTCTCTCAAGTGATTCAGTGACAAAGTTACCATTTTTTCATGCCCATGAAAAAATTAGGTGACTCTTCTCCAGGCACTTGTTATAAAGTTGCTTTTGTGATAGAGATAAGTGCAGAAGGACTTTGATAGAATCATACAAACAGTCTGAGGAGACTGAAAGCCCATTGTTCTGGGGAACATTCTGACCACCAGGGGACCATAATTCCTGCAAATTGTGTATTTGCCTCTCCAGGTAAGGTTAGCTCTTCCCTTCTTTGCGCTATTCTGTGACTCCCTTGTGAAATTACAGAGAGATAACACACTGGATTCTTGGTTTTTTGGTCCTTCAACCTAGACATCATTGAGTTCTTTGTGTCCACAGTATCACTCCCTCAATATGAATGTTACATGTTAAACTTTTGTTTTCTCTCTGCTATGTAAAGTGAAAGTTGTGGGCTATTTGGTGAGGATTGACTTTTATAGCTCATGTAACATATCCCATTATATAATTATTATAACAATTATTATATAATGATACAACTATTATATAATGATAACATTATATAGCTTTATTATTCAGTGGGATTTCTGCACAGATATTTTGAGAATCAGGCCAAAGCACAAGAAAAGGTTGGTCACTGAGGAACAAATCTTTCAAGCTTAAAACATTTTTTATATATTTAACTCGAGAAACAGTAATCTCTTGTGACAAGTATTTCCCAGACAATGGGTCAAGAATCATATATATAGTCCTGTCCTGACAGGATTTTTCTGAGTGTTTAATGATGTATAGAAAATTTTATAATCTGCATCTCTTTCATTGTTCTGCTGTCCAAAATGGGAGTTGCAATCTGCTGGGTCAGCGGTATAATCAATTTTCTTCTTGTTCCAGGCTGTCCTCCGGAGTCATCAAGGAGAGAAGTTCTGGGAAGGAAGGAAGATGGGATGGGAAGAGATCCCTCACTACTTGTGAGGGTAGCAAGAGAGCCCAGGGTTTCTGAGGTTGAGATCTGTACCCCTGGACCATCAGTTTGAGAGTGGTTGAGCCTCTAAGGAATCACCTGTGACATCATTTCCCAGACACGAGAGGGCTTCTTAGACCCTCATTATGTATGTTTATACTGAAAAAAAAAAAAGATAATAAATATTTTGAGACTCTCAGAAAAGTTCTATATTACCAGGAGTTTTTTGTTGAACTTAAGGCTTCTAACACTCAGTTGCTTATAGTCAGTCCAAATCCCAAACAAATTTCCCACTTCCAGGTGAAATCCTAGGTGAATGACTTATGCTATCTTATTCTCCTAAAGCAACATGTAGAGTCATTATTTCAGGGGAAGAAAAGTTCATGGTCCCTATTAGACTAAGCAAACTTTTAATCCAGGACCATGGCTGAGTCCTTCCTCTCTCTACCCAAGATTATCACATGGCTAATTCATCTGAACACTCTAAAATGTTCTATCCAGATTGTTTTCTTATATAAGTGCCATGCTCCTTTCATATCTTACAGTAGAATATAGATTCATGAAGACAGATGCTTAGAGAAGGAATTGGTATAGATTTTCTCTTTCTACCCAAAGCTTCATGGCCCCCCCAAATGCTTTATTATCAAGTGAACCTATTTTCATCTAAGTTCCGCCACATAATTCTCTCATTCTTACCTACTTACCTGCTCTTCCTCTCTGTTCTCCTCTTTTAACCATCTTTGTCATGATGGGTCATTAAAGCATCCATGTGGAACCCTCTGGTTGGAGAGGTGTATAAGGAACTGTGGAGAGAGAGAGAAGGAGAAGGAGGAGGGAGGAGGAGGTGGAGGAAGGACAGAGAAGGAGGAAGGAGTGGGGAGAAGGGAGGGGAAGGAAAAGGAGGGGAGTGATATCTAAGTTGGAGACACGAGATAGGTTGTTTTGAGTTGAAAGGAATTCCTGTCAGTAGAAATGCTAAAGAAAAGTCTGACACTACCTGTCAGAACAGTTATGTGAGGGATTTCTACACTGAATAGGAAGTTAAAATTATCTGGAAAAGTCCCTTCACTGTCTAATACTTACAATAACTTTTGATAAAGAACTATTAAATCCCAATTCACTTTGATGTTGATAAAACTGTATGGATATCTATTAAGATGCTATTCAAAATGGCCAGGGAGGTATTTGTTTTCTGTGTCTGCATCTGTTTCTTTGGAGGGGGAGTCTCTTGGTATGTTCTTTTTTTTTTTTTTCACAAATCCTCCTGCAGTTTCTGGGGGCACATTTCTTTTTTCTATTTTCCATTTTATTCTCTTTTTATACATTATTTATTAACTTTTATTGATTCTTTTTTAAAAGCCTGATTATTTTAAAAAGTTTTAAATAATTTTTCTTGTCTTCTTCATTTCTGGGCTTATGCATGTCTTTCCTATTTCTGATTCCTAAATTTCTGATTATTTCCTGCTGAGTAATTTCTTTCACTTTCTCTTTTTTTTTTGTCTATCTGCCCAATAAATTTCTTGCAGATGTTTCACTCTTCATGTTTCACTACTCTGGAATGAGAGAATACAACTCTAAGACTCTGCTCCCCAAAATATAATCTTTCCCAAGGTTAAATGAATTTAAGGAGATCCAGGGCTCTAAATTTAGACATCAAACAGAAAGCCCTATAGGTATTTAAAGCAAGAAGTGGTTTATTACAGGAAATTGTGCACTTACAAAATCTTCATCATGAAGTTTAAAAAACCCCAGGAAATCACTGCTAAAGGTCACCATGCTGCAAAAACCAAGGCTAGCAATTTTCAGGGCAAGTGGAAAGGCCCCCTACAAAACGAAATCTCCCATAAATGGGAGAACCTAGCATGGTGGAACCTAGCCCAGATTCCACCTGTCCAGGCTTATGGGAAATGTAGTTCTCAGTCTTCCAGCCCCTGCTGTTCAGGGAGAGCATACAAGAGGGTGGGAATGGGGAGGAATTGGTAGGAGGTCATGCAGCTCGGTTGCCTATCCAGTGCAAAGAGCATGTGGTGCTTACATGACAATGCTCCTTAGCTACTACTTTTTCTGTTCTTCACAGGGATTCTTCAGGCTGCTGGGTCAGGAGGGCTTAACAATAGCCCAAGATGAGATCCCACCCTTTTGACATTAATTCCAAGGAGGGAAACCATCGTCTTTCTCACCTTTCTACAAGCACACTGCAATCACAATAGCTTTCCATTTATTTTCCCCAAATCTTGGGTATTTAAACTTATATATCTTCATGTGTGCTACACCAGTGTTCTTGTCTTACTATCCTTTCCAGGAAACTATTGCTCTTCCAAAATGCTCCCTGAGTGGTGATATGCCTGATGTATTTATTAACAGATACACATTGTCTCTCAACCTCTGGGACTTAAATTGAGATTTAAGCTAGCCTAATAGTTTTCTTCCTGAACAAAAATGGTTATTTTTCTTGTATTTGTATAAACAATGAGTTTATCATGGTTCATTTCCAAAGCTGAAAGGAGTAATCTCTTCTGCTAATGATGCCCTGGAATAACACTTCCAGAAAGTTGTTCACTCCTCAATTACCACTCCATTGAAAAAATAATCCTAAATATCAAATTAAAAAGAGGTTCCATTGAACTATTATTATTGTCTTTCTATATAGTCTTCATATACATTTAAATGTCAACAACCCCACATTTTTCTCCTTTAGTATCTTAGATCATTAAATTAGTCTTAAAGTTTCAAACATTTATTTATTTTTAGAGAGAGAGAGAGGTGGGGAGGGGCAGAGGGAAAGGGAGAGAGAGAATCTTAAAGCCGGCTCCCTGCTGAGTGCTCAATCTCATGACCCTGAGATCATGACATGAGCCAAAACCAAGAGTCAGACACCCAACCGGCAGAGGCACTCAGACACCCCTCAAACATTGTTTTTAAAACAGAAAGGCCAATATTTGTTTTTTAAATATCTCACGCATGATTATAAAGTGGTGTTTTCCCCCCAAATTTGTCTATATGAGGGGACACAAACAGACTTTATATGGAAAAGAATAAAAATATTGAAGAGTTCTGTGTCAGGAGGAAAGGCCTTTTTGGAGGAGGAAGGGGGGCTGGAGTCACTGAGTATCTTTAGGCCTAAAACACCTGTCCATCAGCAGTGGTGGCCTTTTTGTCGAAAGCATTCGAAATGAAACAAAACAAAACACAGTAGATAACAGTTTTTCTACTGATTATTAGTTATAATAAGTAAAGTACTACCAATAATTGTTTTTTATTTCAGCTTCTAAACATGGATTTTTATCTCAATACATCTTTTAAAAATCTAGGTTAAGAAATCTTCAGTTTCTGAGAGTGTTCTCAAAATGAAGCCAATAAAGGCAGGCAGGCATCTTATTTCTGTTTCCATCCCCTGTAACCAGGGAGCCACTCCAAGTCTCAGGAGATCATCTTCTGTTAGTTCCCTTTGTTTAATAGCTATTTTTTTTTCTCTCGTGTTCTCTGAAGAATCTCCCAATTTTCCCAGCCCATAATGACCCTTGCTTTTTGGGCCTGAGGTTTTATTTCCTCAGCTGGGTGAGAAGCCCCCAGAGGGCAGTATTAAGATCTCATATTTCTTGTCCAAGCCAGCACTGGGCACTGTTTTTGTGTAATAAGTTAAAACTTAGGAGGTATTGCTTCAGAGAAAATTCCATTTGTGAGCAAGGCTGTGTTCATGCAGCAGGTAATGCTATGGCCGGATCCCTCGACTCTCTCCCCAGTGTTTCCAGAGCTGCTGCCAAGGAGCAAGGGAACATATTCTGGTGATAATCAGAGCAACGCTTCTGCCTAATATTCTGTTTAGTTCAGAAGACAGCATCATAATTATCTTGAAAAATTAAGTTTCCTCCCCTGATACCTGTGACTGGGGAGATAACCCATAGTCAATGGGACACACACTCCTGACAGGAATAAGTACACTGAGACAGGGAATTCTGGAGCTTCTAGGGAAAGATATGGATTTTCTGTTCAGGAACAATTGATCTTTTTTTCCTCTCCAACTTAGATATCTTTTTCCCTAAATAAAGCTGGTCCTAAAGCTGAGGGGTCTGAGGAAACAGGCCACTCCCTTTGTATACAGACATGATTCCAATGCAGGAGCACACCTGGTCTGAGTATTTGTGTATGAGTCTTCCCTCCTCCTCGCTGTGTTTATATAGGCCAGTGTTTGGGGGGCCACTGAGGCTTTTGCAGAAGTAAAGCTATCTGATTTTCCTCAGTGTTTGGTTTTTCAAAGGCTTGGCCAATCCCCACTGAGATATTCATTACTCCCATTGTTTCTGAAACTGTGACTTCATCAGCCTGTCACTCAGGAGGTGACAGAGCTGGGACAGAGAATTCCTGGATCCTTATTTGCATCTTCATGTGTGGGTTTGAATCACACCTGAATGTGGCCTTCTGCCTAAACATCCTCTTTACCATGACCGTTCTTTCTATCGTGTTTTTCTCATTTTTCCCCTTCTTCAGTGAGGTTGATGAACCCATAAGGAAATGTAAGTCTTAATGTGGGGCCTAGAAGAGGAGAGGAGGGATCCATTAAATTGTGAGGTACTTGAAAATATGTTCCTTATTACATGATCTGGGAAAACAATTCCTTATCTCTGGGCTTTAAAGCCTTTCAATGACCCTGGGCTAAGAATTCTTAGAAATTATACTTTCGTGTATGATGGAAATACCTGGGGGACAGAGGTCAGGACTGGGCTAGGAAGTCCATTCCTGGTATGCCTATGGAGCCTGAGGAAATATTTGGGGCCCTGGCTGAGCTGAGGTGAACGCCCAGGTTTAAGAACAGGAAAAACCCTATAGAATCTGGGGATCTGTGATAGAGTTTCCAGGTATTTGTCTCTGATCCAGGAAGCTTTGTCTTAGTCTTGTTCAGATACAGACGGTCCCTGTGTAATGCTGTGTGTAAGAATAAAGAGGACAACGTTATAAAGATGGACTGTCTGGGAAGGCCAGGTGAGTACTCTTTGCCTTTAACCTCTAAGTTTTTTGGCATAAAAAGCTTGCAGCTCTGGTGAGTTCCAAAGCTCACATGCTAGATAGTTTAGACATGTACAAATCTGGTCTCAGTGAGACAGTCCCCTCATGTTCTGCAAATGACTTCCCCTGCCTCTCAGTAAGACTAAGTCCTCGGAGACTTCTTTCTGGTGAGAACATTTACCAAACAGAGTTTTCGTTCTGAGCTGTCATTAATTCCTGTGAGTGGAAACATTTCTCCTTTTTGTTTATTTCTGTGATGTTTCTCTTTCTAGTAAAGGTCCCTTTTAGTTGACTCAGTGATAAAATTTCCATATTATGTGCTAGACAGTGAAAGGAAATAAAAGATTTATAACCAGGCAATAGTTATAAATTTGATTTTGAAATAGGAATAAAGATAGAAGGATCCTGGCATCTGTGGAGATGAAACCTTTAGAGAAAAATTGAAAATCATTCTCATGATCTGTTGACCATAGTTCCCATAGACTGTGTATGTGAGGCGGCCTGCCTCTCCAGGCAGGGTCACTTCCTCCCTCCTTTGTGCTGTTCTATGACTCTTCATGGCATCACAGGGAGAGAACACACCAGATTCTTGGGTTCTCTTCATCCACCATATCCTATCTTCCATATGAATATTACATGTTCTACCGATGCTCTGACCAAGTTTCCCTCACACAAAATTGAAATGTCTGGTATATAAAAGGTTACTGTGTTGCTTTGAGGGAAGTAAAACAGGTGGGAGATAAAATTTTGGCTGGATAAATGATTGGATTTGAGAACTTTTTTTATCAACTCAAGGGAAGAATGGTAGACCATGTATTTGTATTTGTCACATCCCCAACATAACCAAAGCATATGGTGGTTTTAATTGCAAACAACCACAATATCTATCCCAACATTGCCATTATATAAATGAGAATATACAATTGTTATTGTAGTTGGAGAAGTTAAGTGAATTGTCCCAAATTTCACTTGAAGTCATTGTAACTCTCAGTCATTTGTATAAATGTCTCCACTTCTCAGTTTGTGTTCCACTTCATCACTCTGCTACCGTTCTTGAGACACTTGTTTGCCGTAGAGCCCAAAGTAGAACAATAATATCCCAAGTGATAATTTCAAAAGAGTCAAATGGGTGGCTTTGTCTAGAACATTTCCTATTGCAGCAACAGGAGAGGGGTATCACCCTCATGGAGGGATGAAGAGACAAGGCTTTATCATCCAGGGCCTCTTGTAAGTGGTCAAGGAAAGTTTAAGTTAGTACAACTGTTCCGTCTGAGAGTTCAGAATCTGAGTGGGCTCCTATCTCTCTTAAACATCAGCTTTGCCCTTTGCAAAGCATTACTGTCATTCCCCTTTATCCTCACAGAGACTGGGTAAAGCTTGGGTTCAGTGGTTATCCCTCTCTCCTGCCCACATTCTTGGTCACTGATATGCACATTCCTAAATTCAAATGTTAGTTCCTTGGAGTGTCATGATTTTTTGTGCTAACTCTGGGTATGATAAAGTGTGGGCAATCAGTTTAGATGCTAAAATATTGGCATATTTGTGATATGTTTGACCCTTATAATTTTGATTAAGACTTTCCTGCTATGTAGTTTCAATAGACATCAGATTTTAGGAGAACACTATCACAAACTTTCTTATTCACACATAGAAAATTAGAGCTAGAAGGAACCACAGAAAATATAAGCTCCAATCTTTCCAATTACAGATTAGAAAACTCTCTTTTCCTCCCAGTTGTATGGAAAGGATGAGAGTTGTATGGTTTTTGGTGACTTTTATCATGAAGGTCACGCAATCACTCCTATCTGGGGATAAACAAGGCTGGGGTTATCCACATAGAAACTTTGGCAAATCAGGACAGGAATGAGGGATCTGGAGCTGTGTTTTCCTACCTTCCATTCCTTGTGAATTTATTCATATTTTGCAAACTGAAATGTTTGATTTTCACCCTCATATTCTTACTGATTATGTAGATAGGGAGATAGTTCTATAGTTGTTGTCTGGCTATAATCTCTTATGGTAATTATTTTCCATACTATGGCTCATGGGCCACATAATTCCATCTTGATATAAATTCTGTGAGATATTTGTTGATGTCCTGAAATATTTGCAATCTAAGTCTCTTGAAATTGTGTCTGCCCAAATAAGGTTCTGTCATTTTGCTGCATTAAGCCTTAGCCAAGGAACGTTCTTTCTGTTTCAGGCCGTCCTTTTCAGCTTCCTGGGAGAGAAGCTCTGAGAGGGGAGGAAGCTGGGATGATACAAGATCACTTACTCACTGTGAAAGTGGTAAGAGACAGAACCCAGGAAGTCTGCCCTGTAACATCAGTTTGACAGTGGCTGAACCTGTAAGGGATCCTCTGTGACGTCATGTCTCAGGAGAGGGCTTCTCAGACCCTCATTATCTGTTTGTTCTGAAATGAAATTGATAATAAACACTTAGATACTCTCAGAAAAGTGCTGTGTTTTAAGGAACTGTTTGCTGAATGTCTATCCTCTTTCATCTCATTTCTTTTAATAAGTCAAAATCCCAAGCACACTTCTGTTGTCCTACGTGAGTGATCTGTGTCATTTGTTTTCTCAATACAGCATGTGGTTTCACTCTAGGTGAAGAGATGCTCATGGTTTTTATCAGAATAGACAGACAGTGAATCCAGGACCAGAGCTGAGCCCTTCCTCCCTCCACCCAAAATGACTTCACAGCCAAGTAACATAAATATTCTCAAGTGTTTTGTCCAGATTACATTGCTCTCTTGCACAAGTGCCCTTCTAGTCCCTTGTCCTACAGTGGAATATTGTTTCATGGATAGATGTGTGGGGAAGGAATTGCTGCAGCTTTTCTTATTCTTCCCTAAGTTTTTAGGCCCCTCAAATAACACTCTCCTACTACCAAGTTAAACTAATTTTATCTCTCTTCCACATAAACACACAATTCTCCTTCATCCTCACCTACCACATACATTTGTATATCAAGTCCTACTGTTTCTTTGCTCTTCCTCTCTGTCCACCTCTCTTGACCATAGGCAATATCTCTGTCATAGTCCTGAAGCATTATATTTTTTGCCTGTGCAATTATAACTGCTCCACAATTCAGATTATGGAACTAATCTGTCCCCTTTTCATGTTATGCCCCACATGTCATCATATGTAGCCTCAAAGTCATGTTTCAGCATGTCTTTTCTTTGTATAAAGGTCCCTGTAGGCTCTTCATCAACTATATTAGCACTTTTATACTGTGGCATTCATTGGATCAACTTCCAAACTGAAAAAGAATAAAGATTCCCTGGTGTAATCGCTGTAATTTTGAAGAAGTACATTTTAAATCTGTGCGTTTCTTTTTCCTGGGCATATGGCTTTTCAGCAAGAGGCTATGTTTCTTAACTTCCCCTGCAGCAAGGAGTAGCTATGTGACTAAATGTTAACCAACAGAATGCTAACAAACAATCCAGGCAAATCCATGTCATTGGCTAAAAAGAAAATGTTTTCTCTGTTCTTGAGTTGGAAATGGAACCAACTGAGGTCACCTAAGAAGCCCTGTTTAGAGTAAGGAGAACAGCTTTTCTAGCCATGGTTCTTGGGGGTAATTTGTAGAGTAGAGGCCAACTCTTGCTGCTGCACATTTCCCTTAGAGAGAATAAACTTTGCTCATTAATCATCATATTTGTTGGCCTCTTTGTTAGAGTTGCCTGGCCTTTACTATAACTTTACATTCTTCTGTTCATGGTGTTTAGTATATCACAAGAACCATTGACCCATCATTTAAAACACCACAGTTCTTAACATAATAGACAAGGACCACCACAATCAGACTCAACGTACCTAACATGTAGCTTAAGCACCAACAGTGCTTATATATATATATTTACTATTATCTGGGCACTGGAGTCCTTTACTCAATTTCTTTTTTCCCCCCTCAATTCATACCAGTGTTCACTATTCATTTCCCTGAATGGTCTTCCCCTATAAATGTCCTGTACCTTTCCTCTTTCTCAGATACTCCTTTTTCACTTAATAGTTTACCTCAAAACTCTTGGACCAAAGAGAACCAAAAAACTTAAAAACAGCATGTGGTTTCACTCTCATAGGTGAAGAGATGCTCATGGTTTTTTATCAGAATAGACAGACACTGAATCCAGGACCAGAGCTTAAAGCTTAAAAATAAAATTAATTTGCTTTTCACTCACATAGCAGACTTATTTGGTGCTGCTGATAATGGGACTTCTTCCCATCCTGTGACTCCTCCACCCATTGGATGGTCAGTCATCTGTCTTCACTCTGTAGAAAGGGGAAAGAGCATGGACAATGCATGGAAGTGGCCCACATTCCACTGGTGAGACTCAGTCACATAATCACACCTAGTTGTAATAAATGCTGAGAAATATAGCTGCTGCATATACTAAAAATCATATTACTTATAAGAAGGGGATGGAGTATGGTATACCACTAATGATCCTGTTAAGAAGAAAGAGAGGAATGTATAAAGAACTCCTCACCTTGACATATCACAATCAAACTGCTAAAAAACAAAGAGAAAATCTCAGAAGCAACAAGAGAAATATGACTTACCATGTACAAGAACACAATATGATTTATGCTAGAATTAATGGAAGTTCAAAGAAAATTATGTAGTAAGAGTGAAGAATCTTTATCTTACATAGATGAACAATTACATTCACTTATATTCCAAACACAGATAAACAAAAGACTGACAAAACATTCCAAAACATTAACAGTAATTATCTCAGAATGGTAGAATTATAAGTATTTATTACTGTCCTTTTAATATTTTCCATATTTTTTATAAAACATATATTCATTTTCTAATAAAAGAACTAAAGTTCCCATAAATAGAAATAGGGATATCTCAGCAATTTTATAGAAGAACCTTTTAGTAAAGAACAAAATATTAATTAAACATATCTTAATAGGTCAGGGTTACATTTTAATATTTAAACTCTCTATTACATTTCTTCATAATATTTCCTGCAAACATAATGCATGGCTAGGTCCTGGGATTTACATCAAATCTAAGGGACTAGGATCTTGCTCTCTCTTGAGAAGTTTTCAAAACAAGCTTCTCTTAGAACTGGGCTAATTATTCTTTCTGATCAGATTCATGGACCAAAGTGTCCTGATTTATAATATCCCCAACCTCTTGAGAGCAGAGACCCTAAATGAACAAAAGCTGTTTGGGGGCTTAAAGATTTAAAATTTCCCTTATCAGGGCACCTGGCTGCCTCAGTCGGAAGAGCAAGGGACTCTTGACCTCAGGGTCATGAGTTCGGGATTGTGAGTTCAAGCCCCACATTGTACATAGAGATTCCTAAAAATAAATAAACTTAAATAAATAAAAAATAAAAATTTCCCTTATCATATCCTAGTCTTCTTTTCTCTATTACATCCCTTATATATAAGAGCTCCATGAAGCCTATTGCTTTTTCCAAAATTTTTTACTTTTGAGATTGTAATTTATTACAATTCCTGTGGGAAGAACAATATGCTCAAAATCCAAGGAAGCTAAACTAGAAGCAAGAGCAATTGATCAGAACTATCATGAATAAACCTAGTAGGGATAAAAATAAGGATGATGATTCTGATAATTTTGAAAATGGTGCTTTCTACAGTCAAGTCTCTATGGAACTAAACACACTTGAACCATAAGAACAGCCATTAGTTGGGGCGCCTGGGTGGCTCAGTCGTTAAGCGTCTGCCTTCGGCTCAGGTCATGATCCCAGGGTCCTGGGATCGAGTCCCACATCGGGCTCCCTGCTCATCAGGAAGCCTGCTTCTCGCTCTCCCACTCTCCCTGATGTGTTCCTGCTCTCGCTATCTCTCTCTCTGTCAAATAAATAAATAAAATCTTAAAAAAAAAAAAAAAGAACAGCCATTAGTTGGCCTCAAATAATGTTTTTCATTATTCAATTTATTATAGTAGAAGTCTTAGTGATTGTCTTAGTCAATTCAGGCTACAATATCAGAATACCATATACTGGGTGGCTTATAAAAAGAGAAATTATTTCTCAAGTTCTGGAGGCTGGAAGTCTGAGATCTAGGTGGCAGCGTGGTCGGGTTCTGGTGAAGGTCTTCTTTCAGGTTGTAAACTGCTAATCTCTCACTGCACCCTCACACGGCGAAGAGTGAGAGAGCTCTCTGTGATCCTCTTTCTAAGAGCACTAATTCCTTGCCAAAGGCCCTACTTCCTAATGCCGCCATGTTGGAAGTTAAGATTTCATATATGAATATGGTGGAATGGGGGAAAGGGCAACAAACATTTAGTCCATAACAGTGATACATGTAATTTAACTTTTATTATCACCAGTCTTTATCAGTTTAGCTGCTCTTTTTTTGCTCAGTAAATATTGTTTGGACAAGATTTCTATAGGGTAAGTTGACTTCTTCTTCGCTCAAAAGTTACTATCTCTTTCAAAGACATTTGGAGGTTGATGTGAAATTATAAAAGAAGAGACAATAAGTTCCTATTCTAAAAGATTTTATTTATTTATTTATGAGAGAGAGGGTGAGAGAGCAAGAACTGGGGTAGGGGCAGAGGGAGAGGGAGAAGCAGACTCCTCACTGAGCACAGAGCCCATGAGGTGCTTGATCCCAGGACCCTGAGATCATGACCTGAGTTGAAGTCAGATGCTTAACTGAATAGGTTCCTATTCTAAATAAAGCTGCTTGCATATATGAACACAAACACACACCCACACACACCCCACAAAGAACTGATCATTTAGGACAGATTTAGTTGGTGTTATATCCTAATATTACCTTCTATGCCCAAATCTTAAGCAATTTTCTTTTTTTTAAAAGATTTTATTTATTTATTTATTTATTTATTTATTTATTTGACAGAGAGGGACACAACGAGAGACACAGCAGGGGGAGCAGGAGAGGGAGAAGCAGGCTTCCCACTGAGCAGGGAGCCCGATGTGGGGCTCGATCCCAGAACCCTGGGATCATGACCTGAGTCAAAAGCAGATGCTTAACAAGTGAGCCACCCAGGCACCCCTTAAGCAATTTTCTTCTTGCCTTGATAGTTAATCTAGAATCCGGAGTCCCAGAATGTGAAAACAACCTATTTGACAAAGAAACAGTTAAATAATATCAGAGTGAAAGAGGAAGGTAAAACTGCATATGGTTTTGCTTTTGAAATGCTTCTGGAAATTAATCTTCAAAAAGTCTTTAGTTAGAATTCTAATAACTCTGAATTTATGATTAATGAGGTTTAGGCAGGGCAAAGATGTTTCTTTGTTTCATATAATAGCTAACATGCTAAGTGTTATGGGCTGAATCGTGTCCCCCAAAACTCATATGTGGAAGTCTTAACCCCCAGTACCTCAGAATATACCTTGTATTTGGAAATAAGGACTTTAAAGAGGTAATTGGGGAAAATAAGGTCATTTGGGTGACTCCTAATCCAATATGACTGATATCCTTACAAGAAAGGACAATTAGGGCATAAACACACACAGTTCAAGGGGTAAACATGTGAGGACACAGAGAGATGGTGGTCGTCTATGAGCCAGAGAGAGGCTTCAGAAGAAACTAAACCTGCTGATGCCTTTATCTTGGACTTCTAGCCTACAAAATGGTGAGAAAATACATCTCTGTTGTTTAAACCACTCGCTCTGTGGTATATTGTCAGGGCAGGCTTAGCACATTGATAGACTAAGCACAATGCTAAACTAAACAGGATTGTTGAGGGAAAATGTTTTCTAACAGAGAAACTTAATTTTAAGTATGTTAAGAATTACATTTGTAGTATCTATTTGCAAAGAATAATTGTGCTAATACAAATTACTGGTTATTAAAATTGGTTTAGAATAATCTAGACTTAATCCTTTGTTCTTCACATCACATAGATGGAAACATAAGGAACACGTTTAAAAAATACATTTTAGTTTAAGCTTTTCACTGACCTTTTCCAGATAAATTAATATCATCATCAATAACTAAGGAATGGCATATGAGTAGGAAGGAGGCAGCAGCCATAAATACTATTAAGTCTCAGTATTACTTATAGTGGTAACTACTACATCATGTCTGGGCTAGTTATCATCTAAATGGTTTACATGTACTTTCCCTCTAATTTTTCTTCTTTTTTAAAAGATTTATTTATTTATTTTAGAAAGGGGTGGGGGGGAGGGGCAGAAGGAGAGGGAGAGAAACTCCACGCTCAGTGTGGAGCTTGATGCTGGGCTCAATCCCAAGACCCCGGGATCACGACCTGAGCCGAAACCAAGATTCAGATGCCCAACCTACTGAGCCAGCCAGGTACCCCTTGCCTCTGATTTTTCTAACATTTTTCTCTTATTTTGGCAATTTAATATATTTTTGAGAGGAAAAAAAGAAACACAAGCTCATTCACTTGAATGCTTGGGTCAAATTTGGAACAGTTTTAAGCTGCTGATGCCTGAATATTCTATAATAAAAATCAGGAGGTATGACTTATGTCTGCACCCTGGTATTTATTTGTTCCCATAAAAACATTCAGAATTGACTCTGGATGACATAGGAATGATCTTTTCAGAATTGCTAGTTTACCCATGCCAGGAATTAGAAAGTTTCCTCAGTGCTATTTATAAAGCATTGTGTTTTCTAGTGTGTACCTTCCACAAGTTCAATTCCTTTCTCCATCATGCCTGGACCACCCACTCTACCCTGGGTGCGGGCAATGAGTGATCAGATCTTATTAAACTTTCTGATTCCTTGACACTTTAACAAAAATCATCAGCAAGCTGTAATTCTAACAAGTGATGATCTTAGAATTTGAGAGAAAACACTGCTCTTTTCATGCTAGACTTTGACTTTTTTTCTCATCCTGGCACTGGTAGGTGTTTTAGAATTGCCCTTTGAATATATATGTGTGTATATATTTATATTTAAATATATATGTGTATCAATATAATACATATATGGCATCATCATATAGTGAGTGCTTGTTTTTTAAATCTTTAGAGCTTGTTTATTATGCTAATGTTTTCTCATCAAACAAAGCCACCTACACTTAACAAATATTGAGCATGTATCGTGTGTTAGGCACTGGAGTTTAAAACAATAAAGGGCAATTTTCAATGCACTGAATCTGGGTTGTACTTAAGAGAATGAAATGTGAATATCCTACTCTGTGTAATAAAAATAAACAGAAATCCTAGGAATGGAAGTTATTAATTAGCAGTGTTCAAAGCTGAGATCTAATTATCCTCTTCCTTAATGATACACTATCCACAACTTCAGCCAATGCTCAGAAACAGTCCTGATAAAT